TCTCATGCCTTCCAATCAGTGGAGTCTCCTTCTGCTCCCTTCCCTCAGATGTATCATCTACTCCACTCTCCGCATTAGTACCTGTGGAGAGAACATGAAAACGGTTGCTCACCTGTATCTCCATTGCTGGTACATGGACACTCCTCTTTCTTCTTCTGGAGGTCACATGCTGCCAATTTTCTTCACCATCCCTCAGTCCCCTCTGTGCAACCTGCTCCGATTCTTGAGAACGTTGTGCCTGTAGAAGCATATCCTGACGTCTGTCCAGGAAATCTTCTCTGAACACAAAAGGTCTCAAATTAGACATTGACAATCAGTAGCCACTATTGAAAATTTAATTCTTAGATGGGCAACAGCAAAAGCGAGCTCATCTTAGATGCTGAATAAACTTTTCCATTTTACTTAACTATAATATTTCTGTTAATGTTTACTAATTTTTTTTTACTTTTTTCTCACATTCCAAATATTTTCTTCATCATTCCCTTTTAATCTTTCCATCTGTGTACTATATTATCTTTCTCCCACACAACCCAGGAAGTGAATTCATGTAATTAGCTAATTATCTTGCTTGACACAGCTCACTAAAAATTGAAGTGTGAGCATGATGGAGGAGGCAGTGGCTCAGGTTAGATACCCAATTAAAATGCTGCCCAACCCTATTAGTATGCACTTGGTCAGAGGGCTCATCCACCTCCCTGGGCCACTGTGGCCACACCGCTGTTGTGGGGGTTGGCAGTTGCTAAATTATGTAATACCAGAGGCTCAATCTCAAGCTATTCCAATGCAGAGTAAAGATAAGAAGAACCAAAGGAGACCGATGTGGCTTCACAAGGAGCTTTTTAGCTGTCTAAAAACCAAAAGGGATACACACAGGAAACTGCCAGGGGTAAGTCACCCAAAAAGTATACATGGGAATAGCACAAGTAAGTAGGGACAAGGTCAGGAAAGCCAAGGCAAGGAATGAGTTACAGCTGCGAAGAAATGTTAGCAACAAGAAAGGAGTTTTCAAATATATCGGACAAAAAAGAAAATTCAGGGATGGTATGGGTCCATTGCTCAATGAAGAAGGTGAGCTGGTAACAGAAAATTATGAGAAGATGGCACTGTTCAACACCTACTTTGCTTCAATCTTCACAGAAAAAATAACATGTGACCAGGTGATTAGCGAAGTTACCATAGACAATAAAGGGGAAGGAATGCAGATCCGGATGACTAAAGAATACATCAGAGATCCTAATTTGAATGAATTCAAGTCAGCAGGGTCTGATGCTATTCATCCCAGTGTGCTGAAAGAATTAGCTGAAGAAATCTCAAAACCACTGGCAATAATATTTGTAAATTCATGGATGACAGGAGAGGCCCCAGAAAACTGAAGAAGGGATAAGGTAGTGCCCATCTTTAAAATGGGGGGAAAGGAAGAGCTGGGTAACTATAGAACAGTCAGCCTGACATTGATACCCGGGAGGATACTAGAGCAATGTATAAAATATTTAATTTGCTAATACCTGGAGGATGAAGGAGTAATCACTAGCACCAAGCATGGATTTACTAAGAATAAATCATGCCAAACCAGTTTGATTTCTTCTCTGACAGAGTAACTGGTTTTCTGGCTAGGGGAAATGTGGTAGACATAATCGACCTGGATTTTAGCAAGGCTTTTGACACAGTCCCACATGACATTCTGACAAGTAAACTGGAGAAATGCAGGCTCAGTGGAACTACCATTAAGTGGACAAACAATTGGTTAAACAACAATGTAATGCTGTTGCAAAAAAAGCAAATGCAATTTTAGTTGCATTAACAGAGGCATAGCATGCAGGTCATGCGAGATAATAGTAGCACTCTACTCAACACTGGTTAGGCCTCAGTTGGAGGACTGTGTCCAATTTTGGTCACCCATATATAGAAAGGTCATAGAGAATCTGCAAAGGATCCAGAGGCGAGAGACAAAGGTGATCAAAAGGATGGAATTCGAAACATAGGAGCAAAGGGTGAAGGAACTGGGTATGTGTATTTTGGAAAAGAGGAGATGAAGGGGGGAAAAGATAGTAGTCTTCAAATACTTAAATGTCTGCCCTATAAAAAATGGAGAACAATTGTAAGAACGGTAGGACAATGGGATAAAATGCCTAGGGAAGTCGTGGAAGCTCCTTCACTGGAAGTTTTCAAAAGGAAGCTGGATAGCCATCTGTCTTGGATGCTGTAAACACAACCAATCCTGCATCATGGCTGGGGTTAGACTAGATGATCCTTGCGGTCCCATCTAACCCTAGGGTTCTATGATTCTATGTTGAAGTACCCTGAATGTCACAAAGGAAGTACATGAATATAGGGAATCTATGCATCACTTTAGTTTGGGATCTACAGCACATTTTGCACATTGAAAGACTTGCATTATTTTGAAATAAAAAAATTAGTTGTATGTTTTTCTGACAATCTTAAGAAACAGAACATTAGGTTTACTTTTCATTGTGAGTTTAGTGTTAATCAGATTGAGCACAAATTACTGGTAGATTGTGGGTATCACTATAATACCTTAAACAAACTCAAGGATTAAGCTTTTGTCAATAAGCATTCTATGGTAATGGGTAGTTGGGAGAAGAACATGTGTAAAGAGGAGTTAGTGGGGTGTGGGCTGGTTTTCCAGTTTTGTGAGATCACAGGGCCTCTGATTTGCTTAGTTCTGAAATGCAAGAATCTGAGTAGTTAGTAGATCTGGGTAATGATTCAAGTGTGGTATGTAGGAAAGGAGATGAAAGAGAAAACTGGCAGTTGATGATTGGGGAAGTCTGCAGGGACAGCTCCCTTAATGAAGTAAGGTAACACCTGTTCACCGAATTTGTAATTGAAATCACACTTTTCTTTTGCAGACCAACTCCAGACCGAACTTCGTAAGTTCTCTTTGCTTTCTCACCTGCTACTATCCTTCAGAATAATGTTAATAAATCAAAGCAGATAATTCTTCATATCATTGCCTTTGCTCAATCCAAACAGATTTCTATTTACCCCCATAACAGAACTGTGATGACTTTCTCTCATCACAAATTGATTCGTCACGCTAGTATATTCTTATTTATTTTCTCTCTAGTCTAACATTGAAAGAGTGATTTTCAGAATAACTGTACAATATAGACATAGGGGAATCTTTGTATGATGTATAGGCACTATACATGTTCATATATCACCTCCTTCTGGCCCAGTGCAAGGTGTTTGGCCAGAAAAGAGGAGGCACGGCTCTACATTCTGCACTATGCCAGGGATCTGTTGGTAACCAAAACAGTTTAGAAGATCCTTCAAGCTGTTGTATTGGTCACAATGGGAATATCTGACTGCAGAGAACGCTGAGAATTGGAGGATAGGATGCAAACAGAACCTCTCATTATTCCTCCTCCCCACCCACAAAGTTTCACTGAGTGTTCTTTAGCCACAGCTCCGAACCTTCATTACAATCTTGAGCCCAGTGATTAGGGCACTCAGTGAGAAGATGGGAAACCCAGGTTCAAATCTCCGATCCACTACAGATATTGGGGAAGAACTGGGTTGCCCACATCCTGGGTGAGAGCTGTAACCAGTGGCCCTGTTTAGACATGGCTTTTCTGTGTATGTAGGAGGATCTTGAGCTGAAAAGAGCAGTTACAGTCTTTGTCTATTTTTGAAGAAAAGAACAATTCTGTTCCAAGTAACCCTGTGAGCATCTCTGCTAATTTCCGTAGCAGCTATTTGTGCTTATCTAAGGCTGAGTGTAGCCTATTTGTGAATGCTGAAACATTGATTTGTTTTTCAGAAACACTGAGGGAAAAATATGGTAAGTATGGGATTGCCCATTGGTTTAATCGAAATAAAATGAAATGAAATAAACAAAAGTATAAATAAATAGAAAGAAAGGGGGGAAGAAAGAGAACCTCTACAACTGAAAAAAAAATAGTAATCTATTTCTTGGAATTTGTATTATCCATCCCTCCTCTCTTAGTTTAGAAATGTCTTTTACTGTCTAGGGATCACATTTTTTTTAATACTTACCGTTTGTTGGGCATCTCCCACTTCAGAGAGCTTTCCCCTGAATTTCAGAAGATTTTCAGATTTTTAGATATTCCCCTGATTTTCAGAAGACTCCAAATTAATTCAACAGGGGATACAGGTTGTCTGGACACAGGAGGTCTCAAATTACACACTAACAATCCGTGTCCACTATTGAAAATTTACTTTGAGATGTGCAACAGCAAAAGGGAGCTCATCTTAGACTCTGAACAGGTCTTTCCATTTTACTTAGTTTAAATAATTCTATTATTTTTTTTCTACATTTTTTTTTTACTTTTTCTCACATGCCAAAGTTTCTTTCATCATTCCCCTTTAATCTTGCTATTGATGTGTCATGTTCTCTTTCCCAGTCTCTGTTTTAGTCATCTCATTTCTCAGCCTATGAGATCATATAACAATGAATGCCATATAAAATGTAGGTAGAATCTGTTCTTTTCATTTTTAAGATATTATATACATAAATCTAACTCCCTCCCATCTCAGGTCACATCATTGGTGTACTTTGTTCTGTGTCATCCCTCAAACAGTTGAGTTAATGTTGGATTTCATAGTGCTGGAAAGCAAGTTACATCAAGTTAAATTTGGGTTTTCAGCTTCTCACCCCTCATTTTTAACGCTGAGTGATCGTATTCACACTCTAAAGAACTGTGGTGGTAATCACTATCAGCTGAAATTTATAACATGGCTGATTTGACTCTAATGTTTTATATCTCCAGAAGATAATGGGAAAATGAGGATTGGTTTGTGAACAGTTTCACTCACACAGAAAGCAGGCTGTGTGAAATTAAAAACCATAATGTATTCATCTTACTGACATAAACAAAATTCTCCTTGATTTGGATGGCTGGATCTTTCTTTAAATTTGAAAAAGAAAACCCACACACAGCCGAAGACGGGGATTCATGTATCTTGTCAATTTTCTTGCTCAAGCTAGTGAGCTAAAAATAGCATTGTGGACATAGTGGCAGAGGCAGAAGTTCAGACCAACCACCCAAATACAGTGCCTCTCATCCTGCTCGGTATATACTTGGGCAGATAGCCCAACAAATTGCCACTGTCCAATGTGGCCTCACTGCTATTCCTATGCAGAAACGGAAGTAGAGTTTTGCGAGTACACCCACCCAAGCTGGAAATCACATCTCCCAGCTGCTATGGAGACACCCTGAATGTCACATAGGAAGTACAGGAATGCAGGGAATCTGTCCATTACTTTACATTTGGATGCTACAGCACAAATAGTGTATCAAGAGACTTGTATTATTTTGATATGAATTTTATTTTTGTTATTTCAGAGGTGTTTGAGAAAGAAAACCATAGGTTTATTTTGATTTTTGAGTTTAATAGATATCAGACTGAGCACAAATTACTAGTATTTGTTGGTACCACAATAGTTCCTTCAAGACACTGAGGGTTTAAGCTGTAGTTGAGAAGGTGAGTGGTAATGGGTGGCCGGGAGATGAGGATTAGTAAAGAGAAGTCTTTGGGGTGTGGGGTAAGTCTCCAGTTATGTGCAAGAACAGGGCCTTTGTTTTGGTTAGTTATGGAATGCAAGATTCTGAATTGTTACTAGATCTGGGTGATGGATCAGGTGTGGGTGTAGGAAAGAGAAAACTGGTAGCTGATGATTTGCTGTTCACCAATTTCTAACGGAAATCACACTGTTCTTTTACAGACCAACTCCAGACCAAACATCGTAAGAACGATTTGAAGTCAGACCTACTTCTTTTCTCCAAAAAAACAGTGGTGGAGCAA